GTGATTGGCTGATTAGAAATTAAGTGTTAACGAGCAGTTGGACAGGTGTACCTAATAAAGTGGCCGGTGAGTGTACACTTTGCAGATTACTTTTTCTGCACTCCACCTGTTTAATCTGTGCGCGCTCCGGCGGGGTGACAATCATCCCGTTAATACCTAACTTTTTTTTTGAAAGACAGTCTGACTGTCAGCCTTTCCCACAGCRCTTCCCCGCTGTACAAGGAGACAGTATTGCGCTATGACCGCAGGAGAAACGAGGTCCAGACTCAACGAGCTTTTCTGCGTCCTGCTGGAGCACTACTTCACCTGCCACGCTTCCTCTGTTTTCACTCCAGCTGGTTACATCATCAAAAAGAATTGCGCGGTTGGCCGGTAGACTACAGATCTCTTTCATAGGACAAAATCGTTTCTACCGTATATCGGTTATATCGCACATTCCTAGCAATGGCCCTCTTTTGCATGTCACTAACCTGTTTGTCCATGTGGAGGCAGTGCTTATAAGGCTGAGTTCACCTGAAACTCATCAGACTGAAGAAGTCTYTTGGAGGAGAGATGAAACGTTTCACTAAAGAAGAACCATCCAGAGGAMCTACTGATTTTTTCTTTTTGATAAAGCTTCCTTTTTTCGTTGCAGAAAGAGGAGGAGAGAGAAAGTTATGAAGGCAGGACGCAGCGTTAGCTGTCAATCACAACGCTCTGCTGCTAGATTCCTGCACAGGCAACTAAATTCTGAAAAGTTTGGCATTTACTAATCCAAGTTTTAMAGATTAGTGCCTGAAACATGATCATTATTACAAGTGCATTGAGTAGGATTAATAAAAACACTGTCACTTTGTTGGACCACTGATCGTTTATTACATTATCATTTCTACAGATTAGRGTTAGGGTTAGAGCAACAAACGCATTATGTAACAATCGACGCAAAATGTACTAATGTTATTACATAATGCAGCTGTGAGTATTACAAAATGCATTGAAKACTTTTATTACATTTTGCATCAATTTTTACACAATGCGGTTTTAGTGCATAATGCATAAAAGGTACCACCTCCAGGGGTGTGACCAGGAAGTCAGGTTTCCATGTGACTTTACAGGTGAGACATCATTCATGATTAGTGTTTCTTTAGAGCAGCCGGGGACAAAAGCTGGCTGCTTGTGAGGGTTGGTATTGTTTTAGTTCTGATAAGCCCAGTGTACACACAGACCTGCAGCTGGCTGACTGTGGGCCTTTAATGGAACCGGGGTTTTAGAAAATAATCAGTTGGTTTTCTGCCAACTTTTTACAACTTCCTGAACACGCTTTTCTTACAACCTCAAAGTAGTAAAAATATAACTAATTATAAGAGTACAGTATACTGAAGTATATGTAAAGTTTACACCACCATAGGAGTATTGCGTATCAAAATATATGTAAAGTCTACACCAGTGTTTCCCAAAGTTGGGGTCGGGACCCAAAGTG